CAAGATAACTCCAAGTGGCCAAACAGCTCCCCAAGGAGGCCCCGAAGAGGCCAAAATCGTCCCAAAACCTAAGGAAAATCAATGATTTTTGCTTTCTCGCCTTTTCGCTTCCGATGGCCATCCGAGGCCTGGAGATGGTTCCAAGATGGCCCAAGAGGGCCCCAAGAGAGCCCCAAAAGAGCCCCAAGACGGCCCCAAGAGCGCCCAAGAGCACTCCAAGAGCGTTCCAAGAGGGGTCCAAGAGGCGATTTTAGGGGCTTCCGAGGGGGGGCGCTAATTAAACCCCCCCTCTTGTTTGATCGATCTCCTCCAAGATGGCCCCAAGAAGCGCCCAGGAAGCCCCAAGAGGTCCCAAGATGGCCCCAAAATGGCCCCAAGAGGCCCCCAAGAGGCCCCCCGGAGGCCCCCAAGAGACCCCCAAGAGGCCCCAAGAGCCCCCCCAGATGCACCCAAGATGCTCCAAGAGGCCTCGGCGAGAATGCCTAATCATTGATTCTACACAGGTTTTAGCCACATGGAGGCCTCTTGGGGGGGGGCACGGATTAAGATGACTCCAAGAGCGTCTGGGAGAGCCCAAAATGACCTCCAAGATGGCTCAAGATATCCCAAGATGTCTCATAATGGCTTCCTCTGTGTGCTGCCCACTTCTCTGATCGAGGCAATTCCTCTGGGCATCGTTTCTGGATGGGCTGGTGGGGATTCGCGAAGCGACAACAATTTCAAGCCAAGCCATTTCCAAACGCTGCTGCGCATGATGACAGCATGGCAGTGCCGCAAGAATGCGCGCGGGGTGTTCGTGCCGGTGCGCCGCAGACATGTCGCATCTGCACATTGCGCCCACCTGTGCCCCAAACGAGCCCAGCCCCGCGGGAGCCTAGCGCGACCCCTAGCGCGACTCCTGCCGATGTAGATCTCGGCCCACACCCGAAAAGGAGATCGTGCACTCCACCGACCCAGCACTCGAGCGTTATCCCCAATCTGAATGTTTGCCAGCGTGAGCCCCAAACAATGTTCCCGAAAGAGGTGCTTGCACTTCGGGGTTATTACTTGCCTTAAACATCTCGGGACCCTCCCCGCAAAATCGCCGCGTCGCCGCCCGTCGCCGCCCGTCGCCGTCGCCGCCCGTCGCCGCCCGTCGCCGTCACCGCCCGTCGCCGCCCGTGGCACCCGGCGCCCGTCGCCGCCCGTCGCCGTCGCCTCGGGACCATCGCCGCAAAATCGCCGCCGTGCCGCGCGTCGCCGCTCGTCGCCGCCCGTGGCCGTCGCCGCCCGTCGCCGCCAGTCGCCGCCCGTCGCCGCCCGCGATGGGTTCAGATCACAACCAGTCGCGTGAGATCCCACCGGACGGTTCAGATCCCAACCGTCTAAAACACCGGGCACGGCCAGATCCCAACCGAGGAGGAAGCGAATGAAGAAAACATATCGAAATGTTACCATACTTGTTCATTGCTATCTGAAATTGCGATGGACACCTTACAGGAGCAGATTTACGCGTGAGCTATTGCGATTGGGATCTCGCGCGTCTTTTGCTGGATCGTAGTCGTGGTAGAAGTAGGAGTTGTAGTCGTAGTAGTAGTAGTAGTAGTAGTAGTAGTAGTAGTAGTAGTAGTAGTAGTAGTAGTAGTAGTAGTAGTAGTAGTAATAGTAGTAGTAGTAGTAGTAGTAGTAGTAGAAGAAGAAGAAGTAGTAGTCGTAGTCGTAGTCGTAGTCGTGGTAGTAGCAGTAGTAGTAGTAGTAGTAGTAGTAGTAGTAGTAGTAGTAGTGGTAGTAGTAGTAGTAGTAGTAGTAGTAGTAGTAGTTGTAACAGTAGTAGTAGTAGTAGTAGTAGTAGTAGTAGTAGTAGTAGTATAGTAGTAGTAGTAGTAGTGGTAGTAGGTTAGTAGTAGTCGTAGTAGTAGTAGTAGCAGTAGTAGTACTAGTAGTAGTACTAAGACTAGTTGTAGTAGTAGTAGTAGTAGTAGTAGGAGTAGTAGTAGCAGTAGTAGTGGTAGTAGTAGTAGTAGTAGTAGTAGTAGTAGTAGTAGTAGTAGTAGTCGTAGTAGTAGTAGTAATATGAAAGTAGTAGTAGTAGTAGCAGAAGTAGAAGTAGTAGTAGTAGTAGTAGTAGCAGTAGCAGCAGGAGTAATAGTAGAAGTAGTGGAGTAGGAGTCGAAGTCGTAGTAGTAGAAGTCGTAGTCGTAGTCGTCGTCGTAGTCGTAGTAGTAGTAGTAGTAGTAGTAGTAGTAGTAGTAGTAGTGGTGCTAATAGTAGTAGTGGTAGAAGTAGTACTAGTAATAATAATAGTAGTAGTAGCAAAAGTAATAGTAGTAGTTGTAGTAGTCGAATTAGTAGTCGTAGCAGTATCCAGTAATAGTAATAGTACTAGGAATAGGAACAGGAAAATTAATAGTAGTAGTTGTCGTAGTAGTAGTAGCAGTACTAGTAGTAGTAGTAGTAGTAGTAGTAGTCGTAGTAGTAGTAGTAGTAGTAGTAAAAGTAGTGGTTGTTGTTGTAGTAGTAG